GTACACCATTGTCGCTTGCGAAAACACAATGACGACGCTGTGGGTGGAAACTTACAGATTAAGGGGCGGTAATATTACAATGAGATCCCTTTGCCACGTCACCAAGGGAGCAAAATCTGACGCGCTCGTTTTCTCTGACGCTTGCAAAAAAAGGCTTACCAAAACAAAGTTACTGGGTTAATCTTTTTCACGTTTCCTTGGTTGGTAGATGCACCGGGGACCTGATTATAGCTCTTAAAACCTGGAAAAGTCAGATTTTCATGATATGTCACCTTTAAGGTTATCTATAAGGCAGTGTGCTCCAAAACAGTGCTCCAAGAGCCATAGAGATCACTTTATTTTTTTGAGCAAATTCAGTTCACAAATTGGTCTGAATGAATCATTACTAAATGATCTGAAATAATTGGTCAATCCTGTATGCTAAAATGACAGCCATAAATGTTATTTTGGTTGAGTTGGAGTGTATTACTGACATGGGTTTGTATGTGCTACTTTCAGAGTTCTCTCAAAGTTTGCCTTCAGTCTCTCCCAAGACTGTGAGCTGCCTACCAAAAAAGAGGTGAGAGATTGGCACTTCCTCCTCGCATTCACTCAACGTCTCACGTGTCCTCCCACACACACATAGGCTAACATGCGTCTGCGTGTTTGTCTGCCATTCCAGAAGTCTCCTGTTCTCAAATCAGAAGTGGTGGATGTCTTGGTCCAACATCACCTCTTTAGTTGGGACCTCTAGGTAATGCTGGCAACTAGTTACTAGCCTGCTGCTTGATAATTAGCTGCGGAAGCAGTCAGTGGTGGTAGTAGTAGTGCTTGGTGTGTTCTGCTCTCCTGTTCACTGCTGTTTACATAGTGGCTTCACATAATGCCAACTAAACCTTTAAAAACCAGTTCAGCAGCTTGAATGCTAATGAAACTCTAAAGCAAATACTGCTCTCCATTATGTTTAGTTCAGATAGATGCTTGTATCCCAGTGTGCTTTGAAAGATAAAGGCCTGCTCACACCAAGTCCTATGTAACTAAATGGCAAAAACTAATTTTGCTCCAGCCAGGGGCCGGTTGCATAAACTCTTTAGACTAGTCTTTAAAAATGAGTCACCTAATTTGTTTTCAAGACTGGTCATAACTTTTTATATTCAGTTATGAAAAGGTAGATTGTTCTTGTATTTGTATTGGGAAAGTAAGACTGATTACCCCTTGACAGCTGCTAGTTGATCAAACTAGTTCTTAAGACAGTCTTAACATGGTGGCTAAGTTTATGCAACTGGTCCCAAAACTATTCACAATGAAACTAATACTGTTTTTTTTTGTTTTTTTTAGATTGTTTAATCACTTTTTACATTTTAATCATCTGGATAAAAGAATTAAATAATTTGTTTTTGAAAGAAATCTTTTAGCAAGGTTGCATTTATTTGATCAATAATGCAGTCAAATTTATTGTTAAGGATTATTAAAATGTTTTAGGAATTGTTTTCTATTTTAATATATTTTCAAATATATTTATTCATTTGATGACAAAGCTAATTTTTCAGCATTGTTACTCCAGTCTTCAGTGTCACATGATCCTTCAGAAATCACTCAAATATGATGATTTGATGCTCAGGAAACATTATTATTATTATCAGTGCTGAAAACAGTTGTAGTTGTGCTGCTTAATATTTTTCTATATTTTTTCAGGATTCTTTGATGAATAGAAAGTTCAAAAGAACAACATTTATTTCCAAGTGTCTTTACTGTTACTTTTGATCAATTTAATGCGTCCTTGCTGAATAAAGTATTTGTTTCTTTAAAAAAAATCTTTCTGATTATAAACTTTTGAATTGTAGTGTTAAATATTATAATATGTTAATGAAAACTCATCAGAAGATGCCACTCTCAATTTTTTTTTTAATACATTTATTTATTGACATCTTAACATTTGAAAAGTCCTTTTGGGATAGGAATTTATAGTTTAATTCAAAATCTTGTCATGCATAAATTCAGACTTGGTGTGAAAAGGTTGCAGGGGTGAATAGTCTGGGTGTCAAGACAGACTTCCTGCGATAAGTTGCAGTCACATTCAGGGTGGGAATTGCCAGGTGTTTAACGGAATGATATTGCGATTATGAATTCAACATCCTCTCTTCAGTCTGGATTTAGACTTGATGCTGATGGAAGTTGTTGTCTGGAAGTAGCACTGGGAGGCATTACCTGGTGTTGAGAATTCCTCAGTGACTCCACATTCACCTGAAACATGAGACCATTAGCGCTAATATTAGCTTGTAGAGGAATTTCCGCTCTGACCTTTAGATGTGGTGTTAGTGCACTGTGCTTCTCATGTCACGTGACCTTCTTGTCTTGAGCTCTCAAGCACTGATAGAGTGCCATGTTTAATTACAGCAGGATAGTCATGAAAATCAGCAGGAATGCTGAGCATAGCCATTTGTTTTTAATTAGTTCAGCCATTCGAGGCAACGGAGCATCATTTAATCAGCGGAGTGCAGATGTGAAGACACGTTACCGAATGGCTCACTCTACCCCACTCTTTTTCCAGGAGAAGGAGCAGAGGCCTCTGAAGGAGGGAGTTCAGGACATGTTGGTGAAACATCACCTCTTCAGCTGGGACATTGATGGCTAAACCATCACACGCCTCCTGTGAGCTGCAAAAAACTTACAGATTAAGGGGCGGTAATATTACAATGAGATCCCTTTGCCACGTCACCAAGGGAGCAAAATCTGACGCGCTCGTTTTCTCTGACGCTTGCAAAAAAAGGCTTACCAAAACAAAGTTACTGGGTTAATCTTTTTCACGTTTCCTTGGTTGGTAGATGCACCGGGGACCTGATTATAGCTCTTAAAACCTGGAAAAGTCAGATTTTCATGATATGTCACCTTTAAGGTTATCTATAAGGCAGTGTGCTCCAAAACAGTGCTCCAAGAGCCATAGAGATCACTTTATTTTTTTGAGCAAATTCAGTTCACAAATTGGTCTGAATGAATCATTACTAAATGATCTGAAATAATTGGTCAATCCTGTATGCTAAAATGACAGCCATAAATGTTATTTTGGTTGAGTTGGAGTGTATTACTGACATGGGTTTGTATGTGCTACTTTCAGAGTTCTCTCAAAGTTTGCCTTCAGTCTCTCCCAAGACTGTGAGCTGCCTACCAAAAAAGAGGTGAGAGATTGGCACTTCCTCCTCGCATTCACTCAACGTCTCACGTGTCCTCCCACACACACATAGGCTAACATGCGTCTGCGTGTTTGTCTGCCATTCCAGAAGTCTCCTGTTCTCAAATCAGAAGTGGTGGATGTCTTGGTCCAACATCACCTCTTTAGTTGGGACCTCTAGGTAATGCTGGCAACTAGTTACTAGCCTGCTGCTTGATAATTAGCTGCGGAAGCAGTCAGTGGTGGTAGTAGTAGTGCTTGGTGTGTTCTGCTCTCCTGTTCACTGCTGTTTACATAGTGGCTTCACATAATGCCAACTAAACCTTTAAAAACCAGTTCAGCAGCTTGAATGCTAATGAAACTCTAAAGCAAATACTGCTCTCCATTATGTTTAGTTCAGATAGATGCTTGTATCCCAGTGTGCTTTGAAAGATAAAGGCCTGCTCACACCAAGTCCTATGTAACTAAATGGCAAAAACTAATTTTGCTCCAGCCAGGGGCCGGTTGCATAAACTCTTTAGACTAGTCTTTAAAAATGAGTCACCTAATTTGTTTTCAAGACTGGTCATAACTTTTTATATTCAGTTATGAAAAGGTAGATTGTTCTTGTATTTGTATTGGGAAAGTAAGACTGATTACCCCTTGACAGCTGCTAGTTGATCAAACTAGTTCTTAAGACAGTCTTAACATGGTGGCTAAGTTTATGCAACTGGTCCCAAAACTATTCACAATGAAACTAATACTGTTTTTTTTTGTTTTTTTTAGATTGTTTAATCACTTTTTACATTTTAATCATCTGGATAAAAGAATTAAATAATTTGTTTTTGAAAGAAATCTTTTAGCAAGGTTGCATTTATTTGATCAATAATGCAGTCAAATTTATTGTTAAGGATTATTAAAATGTTTTAGGAATTGTTTTCTATTTTAATATATTTTAAAATATATTTATTCATTTGATGACAAAGCTAATTTTTCAGCATTGTTACTCCAGTCTTCAGTGTCACATGATCCGTCAGAAATCACTCAAATATGATGATTTGATGCTCAGGAAACATTATTATTATTATCAGTGCTGAAAACAGTTGTAGTTGTGCTGCTTAATATTTTTCTATATTTTTTCAGGATTCTTTGATGAATAGAAAGTTCAAAAGAACTTTATTTCCATAATGCAGTCAAATTTATTGTTAAGGATTATTAAAATGTTTTAGGAATTGTTTTCTATTTTAATATATTTTCAAATATATTTATTCATTTGATGACAAAGCTAATTTTTCAGCATTGTTACTCCAGTCTTCAGTGTCACATGATCCTTCAGAAATCACTCAAATATGATGATTTGATGCTCAGGAAACATTATTATTATCAGTGCTGAAAACAGTTGTAGTTGTGCTGCTTAATATTTTTCTATATTTTTTCAGGATTCTTTGATGAATAGAAAGTTCAAAAGAACAACATTTATTTCCAAGTGTCTTTACTGTTACTTTTGATCAATTTAATGCGTCCTTGCTGAATAAAGTATTTGTTTCTTTAAAAAAAATCTTTCTGATTATAAACTTTTGAATTGTAGTGTTAAATATTATAATATGTTAATGAAAACTCATCAGAAGATGCCACTCTCAATTTTTTTTTTAATACATTTATTTATTGACATCTTAACATTTGAAAAGTCCTTTTGGGATAGGAATTTATAGTTTAATTCAAAATCTTGTCATGCATAAATTCAGACTTGGTGTGAAAAGGTTGCAGGGGTGAATAGTCTGGGTGTCAAGACAGACTTCCTGCGATAAGTTGCAGTCACATTCAGGGTGGGAATTGCCAGGTGTTTAACGGAATGATATTGCGATTATGAATTCAACATCCTCTCTTCAGTCTGGATTTAGACTTGATGCTGATGGAAGTTGTTGTCTGGAAGTAGCACTGGGAGGCATTACCTGGTGTTGAGAATTCCTCAGTGACTCCACATTCACCTGAAACATGAGACCATTAGCGCTAATATTAGCTTGTAGAGGAATTTCCGCTCTGACCTTTAGATGTGGTGTTAGTGCACTGTGCTTCTCATGTCACGTGACCTTCTTGTCTTGAGCTCTCAAGCACTGATAGAGTGCCATGTTTAATTACAGCAGGATAGTCATGAAAATCAGCAGGAATGCTGAGCATAGCCATTTGTTTTTAATTAGTTCAGCCATTCGAGGCAACGGAGCATCATTTAATCAGCGGAGTGCAGATGTGAAGACACGTTACCGAATGGCTCACTCTACCCCACTCTTTTTCCAGGAGAAGGAGCAGAGGCCTCTGAAGGAGGGAGTTCAGGACATGTTGGTGAAACATCACCTCTTCAGCTGGGACATTGATGGCTAAACCATCACACGCCTCCTGTGAGCTGCAAACACATAGACCAAATCACTCTCCATCTGCAGAAAACAGGCATCACACGTGAAATTCATGTTCATTCGTTGTACAGCTTTATGTCACATGGCTGCATTGTTGAGTGTTTGTGTGTCTTGGCACAATAGTTTCACTTTTTGTGACTCTGTCTGTACAAAGGAGGAGTTCTTTGCCAAGATTTCACACAGAATCAGACTAAGGACTACCTGCAAACACTTCCTCTCCTCCGAAGCTAAATAAATGTTGCACCATTTGGGGCACGACTAGAGTGGTCATGAATGAATGTAGGATTTGCACCCTTTTGTCCCTTTACTCTTGGTGATCTCTGGATAGTGGGAAAGATGTCAGTCCAGCTCTTATGCTCCGGAAGGATTGTCTTGAAGAGCTTACTCAGTGTCTGAATGATCACGTTTGTGTATATCAGACATGTACAATCAGAGATTAAACACATTTTCATTATCTTCAGAGGACTTTCCAATTATGATTGTTTCCAAAATAGCTGAATAATACCACCCCACATCCGTAACATCCCATTACATCCACAGTAAACTAATGATGAAACTCATTCACTACAGTCAGGTCTCTTTCTCTCGTGTGTAGTTCAGACTGCAGCATTAAAACACTTCTGCCTCAACATGAAGGGCATCACTGATGATTCGGTGTTGTTGGTGTGGCAATGAATCAGCTTTGTGTTACATATTTTGCTATTTCTTATAAACCATGTAAAGTATAAAGAAGAGAAAACTATTATTTAGCTTTTCTTTTTTTTTTTGAGATGTGAAATAGAAGACGGTCCAGTGCTGCACTGCAGTCTACATGGAGTCATAATGGGCCGCTCTGAATGAGTGACGCAGAAGAGCTGTGTGTGTCTTCTCTGCAAGAGCCTGCAGATGTTAGAGTAAGTGAAAGAAAAAGGGTCCATTTTAAAGTTCTTGTAATTGGTAGACATGGTTGTTTTGAACCAAAAACTAGTCTGTAATGGTTGAGCATGACCAAACTCGCAGGGCGTTAGATCATATCCACGATCACTGATAATGTGTACTTAAATAAAAATCTATATCTGTAAGAATTTGTGCTTTTGTCTTTTTGTGTGTGTGTGTGTGTGTGTGTGTGTGTGAGAGAGACTTGTTAAATGTGGAATTGTTCCCACAAGTGCCACTAGGCATAATCCCAGAGGTCTTCAATTTGAGATGTTTTAAACTCATGTTTTTGTGAAAAATATGTATTGTAGTCACAATAAAACAGAAGACAGATCTTCTGTATTGTGACATATAGTACATTCAAGCGAAATTGATTATTGGAAAAAATACCACAATTGATCAAAGGCGCCTTTCAAAAAAAAGTATTAAAAGCCTTTATTCAACTCGCTATTTCATAATAAGAAAATAAATAAATCATGTTCAAATGAATTTGTTTCAGGCGTAGATGCCTTCCTGCAACCTACAAACTCAAGATAAAAGTTTAACTAGACACCTGCATGAATGAACTGACAACGATGATTATTGTCAAGAAAACCATTCAATCTCCTGGGTTACACTAAAGGATACCACAACATTGAAAAGGGATTATTTAAAAAAAAATGTTGGGCATAGGCTTGGTTCTACCCACTGTGGTTGACTGAATTGAGGCAGATCTGAATGATAGCTTGCAGTCTATTGTAAGAAAGGACTGATTTTAAAGGTATAGTTCACCCAAAAATTGTTCAAATAAAAATTCTGTCATCATTTACTTACCTTTAGGTTATTCCAGTTTCAGTTTCTTTTTTTTCTGTTGAACACAAGATATTTAGAAAAATATGGAACCAAACACAGTTGTTGGTCCCCATCGACTTCCACAGTATGGACAAAATACTATGGAAGTCAATGGGGTCCCTTTTTTTTTTTTTTTTTCAAAATATATTCTTTTGTGTTTCACAGAGAAAGTCATACAGGTTTGAAATGATGTGATGCTGATGACAGAATTGCCATTTTTAGGTGAACTGTCCATTTAAGACAAAAGTGCCAGTGACTGTATTGTGACTTGCAGGCTATCATAAATCCACCATTGCTCTCTGGTGCACAAATGCAAGCACAGTGTCCTCAAGCTCCTGGAACAATGTGATGCAGTTGTATTGACATATAATCCATATATTCTTTTGTGTTCAACTGAAGAAATACACTTATACGGGGTTGAAAAAACAAGTAAATTATGACAAGATTTTCATTTTTTGGTGAGCTATCCCTTTAAGCAGATTGATTGGAGAAGTCTGACATTCCCCATGAGAGAAAAGACTGGAAGACCGAGTTGTGACATTTTGTAAAAATAAAACATGCATGAAGTATTCACAAGAAGATCTATAAAATTATTTAGAAAATGGGGTGGATTTTTCAGTGCATGTCAACTAAACAACTAAATGATTCATTGTCTCGGAATGTACATTTAAAATGCTAGACATCAGTAATGGTATACAACAGAGATCCCTGGGGTATTTGGTCTAACAAAGGTTGAAGACCCCTGGACTAGATAGCCCAACTAAGCAAAACTAGCATAACAAGAATCACACACTGCTGATATTGTGAACATCAGTTTATTTGTATATTGGTAGTGGAAAATGAGTTTCACATGAAAACGCAGAGAATGGTCCAGGTATATTGCCACTAGGGTGTGAATACTAAAGCTCAATAAACAGTAAAACCATCTGAAAGAAATTACAGCAAGTGTTCTGAAGGCCTATAGATCACAGCTGGAAAAAAGGTTAATACAACTTTTTTTCTTTCTTAAGAACAACTGGCACTGGTTTGTAAAGTTTCCCAATCATGAACTATTATACACATTTTATAACCTCAAGATCTACATTCTGTTCTTCATCCCTTGCTCTGTGTATATTTCACTGGGTACTCTGAAGTATCTTATTTGATAAGTTGAGTATGTTCCCAGATCCTGAGCCAAGTCTGTAAGGCCTGATAACACGAGTGATTTGCTCAGCTTGACAAAGGATTTGGGCAAGTGTAAATAAACTGTAATATGAGGTAATTAGCAATGAGTGTGATTAGATTTCAATGCGTGTTTAATTGCCAATTCACATTTCACACTAAACTAGCTGCCAGCAAACTTTAGTTACAGTGTCCTCAGCCCCCACTGAATTCAGGTCTTAACACCTACCGAAAGCATCAGGAATGCATCCAGTTCTTATAGTCATGGTCCACAATAACAATGCTAATTCAAATTAAACGCAATTGTGTGACAGGTCTCGTTAATAGTCCCTTAAAAACAGTTAGCTACATAATGAAGAGTTCAGCCGCCAGAGCTTTACATCATTTCCATTGGGATTATCCTAAAAATGTGATAATAATGACAGTCATAGAGCAAGTACATGATGTCATGTTCAGCAAGAAGAATGGACTTAAAATGTATCCTTCTTATGTTGACATTTACAGCCAAAACAGAACCACTATGCAGTATGTGTCCTATAGTCTCAATTTACGGTATATACAGTCTACGAACACACGCACATCTTATAATAAATTAAAATTCACAAAACAATGTGCAAGTTGGTTCTGTGAACTCTTAAGCCTTGTCATCAAAGTGGTCTGGTCTGGTCCTTGTGGGCAGGTGAAAGACGCGAGTAAAACATGGAGGTTGAGCTGGACTCTTTAGCAGCCCCCGACCGTACCAGCGAGGGTCACTGCGGAATTGCTTTGAGGTTTGCCTTTGTGCCGCTGACCTCCTCGTCTTCTGCCTCCAGACTTTGGCTACAAGAAGACAGGAGAAAAGAAGTTATAAGATGATTGTTGACCTTGAAAACTTTACACTTGATCCTGCTATGGCAACATCTACCACTTTATACTGCAGCAGTAAAACATATAACACTAATAATAAGCAGCACCACAGCATAAATTACACAGTAAGTACATGTAGTTTACAGGGTTAATACAGTTAAAGGTGGGGTATGTATTTTTTCAAAAACGCTTCAGAAAACTGAGTCGGGCCGAGTACCAAAACAAACTTGTAGCCAATCAGCAGTAAGGGGCGTGTCTACTCCTGATGTGTGGAAGAGAGAGTGCTCAGTGCACAGGAGGACGGCGACGGACATTAGCCGAGCTGAGCGACGACAGAAAGATATGATGGCGGATAAAAAACAAAAGAGGACAACGTCTGCGGAACTAAAAAAGGCTTACGATAAGACAAGTAGGACCCGTGTAAATATCGAATCAGCTTTCCAGCGCTGGAGAGAACTCAAGGAGCGGAAGGCCTGCGATCGGACGCCGAGGTTGCTTTGTTTCTTCTCGATAGGCAAGTAACACCGTGTCTGCGCCGCAACAGCTATCTGTCTAGTACCTGATTATAATGAGTTCTATGGTATTTTGTCACGCCACGCCACTCGCGTCCGGTGTAGACACGGTGTAACATTGGTTTTGCTTTGTTTCACAGAACTAATCGTTGCCTGGGTTGCATGTGTGGGGTGGAGCTATCAAAATAGGAGCGAGACCCTTTTGAGGTAGGGGCGTGTTTGTTTTGGTGATTTGAAATATCAACCTTGGCTACCAGAAATCACTTACACCACCTTTAATGAAACCTATAACTAAAACCATGAACTGAAATGAAATATTTAAACTACAACTTTAACTTATTTTATTTCAGCTAGTTGCTACAGCAACATTTCTCTTTTCAGTTTAAATTGATGTACCAAAAGAACTAAAACTGAAATAAAAATGTTAAACTATATTGACGTTAAAAAATCTAATAAAAATAAACACAAACAAACATAATTCATAAAATTGTAATTAAAATGTAAATAAAAACAAAATACAAAATTGAAAACTAATTCAAAATATTAATAAAAAAACTGTTTCATACTAAAATAACAATGGTAGTTCTCCTTTAATAAATATTAATATATTTGATTTTTGATTACTGATAAATATCAATAAATATTTGATTTGCAAATATAACCACATTTAAATTTTCTATGCAGCTATAAAAATTAAAAAAAGATTTGGAATTTTGTTCATTTGAATTCTAGATGGATCAATTTAAAATAATTTAAATGTTTCAGCTTTTGAAATGGTAAATTCATTCAAAATTAAATTGTATATTTTTAAATTTACCTTCACCTCTATAATTTCACCTCTATAAAATACTTAAAACAAAAAAAAAAATTGCAAATGTTTAAAAAATGCAAATCTTTTAAATACCACACAAAAACTTTAATATGTCACATGCATATTTCAAAAAAATAATAATAATAATAATAATATTATATATATATATATATATATATATAGAGGTAAATGTCTAAAAATCTAATTTCAACAAAATTAAAATCCATCCAATTATTCATTGCCCAAGAAAATTAGAACCATCACACAAAATACCAATCTGTGCCTAAATGCACAGTTACAGGAACACTACAGTGTTCATTATCTTGTGCACTGAGACAACTCCCAAACTAGCGAATATTAAACACGACACCCTCCTGGTCACAAGCCTCACTCATTTCCATGCCACAGTATCATTTGGGTAAATGATGCATCATGCACTGTGCTTTCAGGATGTTGAGACTCTATAAACAGCACAGTTCCTGTGAGGGGGTAATTAGCAGTCTTGGGAATGAGTGAGTCACTTGCTGTCCCTGGTTTTACCTTGTTCTCTTTGTTTTGAGGGTCTTCCTCCATTTCTGCCTGAAGCAGTAAGAAGTGTGAAACAAAAAGGTAAACGAAAGCAAAAACGGAGCAATTTATGGGAAATAAAGAGGGATGAAATGAAAGCACAGGAGAAGAAAAGCAACAGAAGAGCATGATGTAGGTGAAGCAAAGTAAATATTTCATGTGAGAATCAAAAGGAAAATGAAAACATGTGGAGGAAAGGGAAAAAAGTGATAGAAAGCTATTAGACCAGACAGATCAGACAAAACACAGCAGGAAATTGCCAGTACTTATACATCTGAGCATTGCACACCTTATATTTAGTATTCTTCCCCTCGTTTGTTGTTATTACCTGTTGTGGTACGTTTTGCTGGGCGGCTGGCGATCCTGTGCTAGCGCTCTCCTCATTGGACGGGGCCACTCCATCCTCTCTTCTAGCTGGGGCTTTCTTTGTTGACTGCATCTTGATTTGCGGAGGTTTCGAGTTTGACGGCTGATTATTTGTTGACAGGAGCAACTACAAGCCAAAGGAACAAAAGTGATCACCTGCTAGCCAGATAATACTGAAACACTTCCCGGCATTGGGTTGTAGCCTACACCCTCAAAGTCTTATGCCCCATGAAGCTGACCTTCGTGATGGTGCCCACAGCTTTGGTTCTTCCCTCTCTGAACACGAGCCTCTGGTCTATGTGCAGGTACTCTGGGGTTTTAATGAAGCGGAAGTGTACGGTAGCTTTGTCTCCTGTGCGTAAGCAGTCACTGGTCATAGAGAGGATTGTGGCTGTTTGCCTGATGCTACCGCAGTGCACTGTGGGAAGGAAGAGACAAGTGAGAGAAATGGTTAGAGGCAAATCTCACGTATTTGCATTTAAGAGCGTGCAAGTGCATGTTTATCTCACCCATTGCTTGATATCTAGGCGAGATGGTCGTCGGGTGATGTAAAACTAGTATCTCTGCCTCAAACTCCCAGTATGCCTGCGGGTTTAATCGTGGTGACACCATGACCATGCCCTTCCTTATTGAAGAGCGCTTGATCTGAAGGACAGAGAAATGAGGAGGAATGTTGTAATGAACAGCAAGATATACGAGATCCTATTCATGAACAAATGATTCAGAACCAGCTTTTAATGTGTCGGTCAAAACGATTCACTGACTGAGCGAATCGGATTCGGAGTAAATCGCTTGCAAACTAATCTCTTACTGAACTAATGATTCCGTTATGTCCGATGTAAAATCAATCAGGAACTGTTAGTTGTAATTAATAATACATATTCACAACATTTAGCAGTGAGGTCCAACTGTAATTTAAACAGCATTTGTTTCCAAACAGGTATAAATATTCTTACAAAACAGTTTATCTATATATTTATGTCACAAATATAATCAGGATCACTAAAGAGACAACGTCATCTGGGAACTTCGGAACAACCATCTTTATTGAACAATTCTGTAATTTGTCAACTAAATTAACACTTTCCCCGCCAAACAGAATTTTCCAGGTTTCCGTGGTTTCACTGTTACACACTCGGGGGCGCTATTACGCATCTCCTGAATGAATCCAGAATCTCCTGATCAAAAACACGCCAGAGGAAGACGCAGAAACAAGCGATCTCATATCTAAGCAGATGCATATGAAAAATAATGCGATCATCAACAACAACCAGCATATAAATGAAAACTGCCTAATGTTACGGAGTGAAATGTCGATCCAGGAAGTGGTACTGTGAAGTACTGTGCAAGCTTTGGGGGTGCTGACGGAAGTGACCTACTGCATATTTGCTTTGATCATCGTAATGAATATGATCCATATGTAGTATTTGATAAAAATGCGATTTTCTCAGTTGCTTAAATTAATTAAACTTATCTACATTAAAATGTTGATAAAAAAAAAAAAAAGAATAAAACTGATTTTTTTGTTTAAAAGTAGAGGCTCTGTTCTTCATTTTGATGTATTGCATGTTCAGATATTCAATACAACAAAATATTCTGGGGGCCATGATATTTGAGAGAAATTTATCAAAAATGCTGGCGGTGGCTGGCAACTTTTTGTTCAAAAACTCTGGCGGGGAAAGAGTAAATTTGGCTCCTAAATATTTCATTCCATTTAGTTTGGAACCCACACTACATACCTTTTTCAGAGCAAAAGAGGCCGTCTGTCCACCGCGGACCTCTTTCACAGGCATCCTCTTGCGGTGAATGGATTTGACAGTGATGGAGAGGAAAGCGCCCAAAGGGTCTGGTCCAAGAAGCAAAGTGTCATTCAGTCGAATCAGCCCTCGTAACGTGGTCCCAGACACTACTGTTCCTACACCCTGGCCCAAAAAAAACAACAACAATTGGACTGTTGAGAGAGGGGACACATATAAATATATAAACGGAGATAGACAGCGTGCTTACAGGTACTGAATAGGTGTCGTCTATCTGGAACTCGGCAGGCTCGTGGTCTTTGAATGAGCTTCTGGAGGAGAGCAGGTTCAAGAACATCTTCAGCAGGTCCATGTTTTCTCCTGTGACGTTAGAGATCTGGAAGATGGGGCATATTCTACAAAACAAACAAATATATGCGAGTCTGCAGAATAACTGGGTTAAAAGTCAGCGATAAGCAAAAACGTGTGTTGTGGGGCATCACCTCTCAGAACTGAAATTGGATGCTGTGACGATGACATCGTCTGTGTTCTGGACTAGGACAGGGATCTTTCTGCATCCTGGAGACTTTAATATCTTCTGCAGGAGCTTCAAGGTCTCTGAAAAGACAGTGTTACATTAGTGTTCATTAGTATGGCAGTACCTACCACTTTCCATAATTTACAGTCGCTTAAGCAATGGCGTTATTATGGTTCACCTTGAAGAATATTAGCTGGACACATGTCAATCTTTGTAACCACCACAAAGACAGGAACATTGAGAGCTAATGCCAAACCCAGGTGCTCTTTGGTCATGCCAACAATTCCTGCATTACTTCCAATCTGTGCAAGAGAGAAAAATGGAGTAAATTTAAAGATTTTCAACAATCATTAGAGCACTCTGTTACAAAACCTAATAGGCTGCCCACTTTGGTCTCATAAATGTGCTCCCAACATGAAGTTCGGTCCAAAATTATGCCACATTTTAGCCCAAATTCACATCTGAAGGAAATGTCTATTACAAATTTATTTTAATCAGAACTAAAAAAATGTTTTTGTTTTTAAAGTTAATGAAATAACAATTTAAAATGGACTATTTTAACCGGTATTTGTTGTGCTTGTTAGAGTATTGAGCAACATGCTAATGACAGACTATTAAAAATCAACTGTGAGCGACAGTGAGTCTAGTCATTTCTCATGTGGCTCACTCGTATTTGGTTAGGATGCTGCCATTGAAGGAAACAAAGCTGCCTGTGAAGTATCAAGGCAGCTCACTCGGTTTTGAAACGGAGCTTACCATCAGCATGCAGAAATCAGGCAGATGGCCGGTCATTCCAAACACAGTAGTCTTCAAGTATTTCTCATGGCCAGCAAGGTCAATAAAGGTAATGACTTTAGAAGACTTCTCGCAGATCTTGGTCCAATCCAGGCTGCCTCCGTGACTGTCAGGCTTGTTAACTACCTGGCCTTCTTGATCAAATCCCAGGATGTCATTGCCCACGCTGCTGGTGCGGCCACTCTCCATTTCATGCTTGTGCCTGAAGAGCTTCTGTCGTGCAAAGCCACGTCCATTATCCAACTCTCCATGAGTCAGCACACCCAGCAGAGTGCTCTTACCGGCGTCCACATTCCCCACTACAGCCACCCTGAGGAAAACACCATCATGACTTGGCTACAGTCAATAAGGTAAAAGCTTCTTAGAACTTGGAAGACATATTAAAGATGCCCCTTTAATATAATAGAGCATGAATCATATGAATCATTGATATGCTACACTACTGTTCAAAAGTTTGGAGTTGGTAAGTTTTTAACATGTTTTTGAAAGATGTCTCTTATAGGGTTGTGACAGTGAGGAAATTTTCCCACAGGTTAATCGATGTGTGACAACACACACATCGGTGTCCTGACATTTTATCCTAGCCATCAGATCGTCCTACCGCGCATGCGCACATCAATATTGCGTCCTTTTTCTCACGCTGAACAACAATATTTAATGTATCTGCATTACTGTAAGGGTAGGTTTAGGGTTGGGGTAGGTGTAGACTTTAATAAAACACTATCTAATAGGTAGAAAAATTATCTATTGTTGGTTTCCTGTAGCTGTATCCCTTCTAGCTACAACCGCGAATAGAACACATAATTACTGTATTTGCATTACTGTAAGGGTAGGTTTAGGGTTGTGGTAGGTGTAGATGTTAATAAACCATAATTTTACAGGTAGCATTTTTCGTTGTCGAATTGTACTACCCACTGTTTTAATGGGAGGTAGCAAAATCTGAGAAGGTAGCACAAATCGACAGAACACCGGTATCACTGGGGGCTTGTGTTCGTTCGTTGGAGTTTTCCCTCTTTTCCTTGATTTCCTTTGCTTTTAAATAGCTTATAAATCCCTGTGCGCATTTTACATTCACTTTCGAATTAGCCGCAATTTCGCACCAAGTGCTTGAATGGACAACAATAAAGCAGTACAATGACAAACTCACTAGGAAACAGAGCTTTTATTAACAAAACAAATAAAAATACACCAAAATATTGCCAAACAGGAGCTTTAGCATTTCGTTTCGAATCAATCTTCTTCCATCATCTTGTCTGCCTCTCCTCACTTTTATTGTCAGTCAGCTCGACTCACTTTCCTCATGTGATAAATGAAATCCTGCTGCTGATCTGTGATGTGACTGTCGTTTGGCATGCTGCATTGAGCAGCCACGTTCAGTTTTTAAATTGTAGTGTCTGTTTTCTAACCGAACTAAATGATTATTACTACTATAAAAAAATCTAAATGACGGTGGGGGGGCGGTGCATAAGTGACGTAACCTGTGATGCAGCTTAACACCGGTAACACCATCAACATCGTCTATCACAGCAAGCCTGGCCTCTTCTGCTCACCAAGGCAGTGTTTATTTGATCAAAACTGTCAAATTTTGAAATATTATTTACAGTTTAAAATAACTTACCTATTTGTATATATCTTAAAATTTTATGTATTACTGTCATGGCAAAGCAGCCAGTACTCCAGTCTTCTGTGTCAGATGATCCTTCAGAAATCATTCTAATATACTAAGTGCGGCTCAAGAAACATTTCTTATTATTATCAATGCTGAAAACAGTTGTGCAGCTTAATAATGTGAAAACAGTGATATAATTCCGTAATGAATAGATAGTTCAAAGGACTACATTTATTTGAAACAATTCAGTAACATTATAAATGTCTTTACTGTCACATTCTATCAATTTAATGTCTGAAGTTTTCATTAACTTTTGAAAGGTTGTGTACATTCTTGTTCTTTTGGATGAACTTTTCTTGATCTTTTGCATTGTCAACATTCGTTGCATGGAAAACAGCAGCCTGGACATTCTCCTGAACACCTCATTTTATGTTCCACAAAAAAACGTATATGATGTTTGAGCAACCATGAGTACATGAGACCAAGTGTTTATTTTGGTTAAACTGAACTGTCACTTTTCTCATCACTCACCTAACCTCCAGGAAGTCCGCTTCTCCCACTCGACGGCGAATAAGGTAATCTCTGACCTGGCCGCCAGCTTCGGCACGCTCTCTCAACAGGATGAGGTCTGCCTCATTTTAGTTACATTTTTAGTCATTTTGTTGTATGTTTTTGTCATTTGTATTAGTCTTTTATAATGTTTATTTATTTATTTACCTTCAGTTTTAGCTTTAGATATTTTAGTACATCAAGTTAAACCAAATGAAAATGAGAAACTATGCCTTGGCAACTAGTTGAAATATATATGATATTTTAATTCAGTTAACTTATTTCAAGGAAGGAAAATGTTAACTGAATTATGAAAATGAAAGTGTGTTAAAACCTTTGGGACCATAAACCAAAACAAAAAAAAAAGTAATCGATTCATAAAATGGACTTCCTCATTCTCTGATCTATTTATCTCCTCCGTGTCTCCCTCCTTCTAAAGGGAAATCCCTCTGTGTTGCGCTGATATTTCATCAGGTATTGTGTTGTGAGGTCGTCGTTTCTTCACAACTGACAAACTGTCCATATTTCATTCATTGGAATTAATGCAGATTTGCAGTCTATAATCAGCTTGCTTTACAGCTAAACCCCCACACAGATGGATAAATCAGAAAGCCATATTTTAATATAGCACTACGACAGGTGCATAGGATACAGATGATAAGAAATTTGTTTAAAAAAAATATCGCTAAAGATAGCCGGGTTAGCTTAGGTTAGATGCAAACACTCAGTGGTCAGCTCGTAAAACAGTGAAAATCTCAAACAGTAAAGAAAATCAAATAACATGATTATAACTGCCAGTTCAAAATTCCAACGTGTAGTCACATTACTAATAATATAATTTTTGTAAACGCATTAATTTACTACGACTAGGCTGACTCTATTTGAGGCCTAAGTTACCTTGCTGGAGAAGTCAATGCCGAGATCCACGGCCTCGCCGTTGAACATCTCCCCGTCCTCGAAGCACTCAGCCCCGTCGTCCTCGCCGCATCCCCGCGCTGGAGCAAACATGCTAGCGGGGACCACAGACTCTGGTAACCCTATGGCTCCGGGATTAAAACCCGGATCCGTCGTCGCTGCTGATGCCATCTCTGGGGCAGCAGTTTTTAAAATCAAGCTAAAACAACTATAAAACGAATCGGTTTTGGGGGGAACAATTGTAAGCTGATACAGCACTAACGCATTCAGACTGTTACGCCGCTCGCCACTAGGTTAAAACCTGCCTCGTCGAGATAAACAAGTATCGCTACATATTACTGCTATCACAATAACACGCTAAGCTGATAATGGAGTACACCAAAGTCTGACAATCTGTCACTGTGCACCGTTTAAATGTTACATTTAGAAATGTTTAGAAAATGAGTCATGTGTGTTTTTCTTCTTCTCATGAATTATTGATCAGCAGTCTTGGCCAATCATTTTCTCCAGAATTATAATCACGTGTTTTATTATCCAATGAAAGTTCGTGGGCGGTGCATGTCATTACTAATAAAATATAATTAAAATGCTAATTATGCAACATTTAGTTCTAAAGTCGCAAGGTTTGTTTTGGTACATACTTAGATTGACAGAAAAATAAATAAATAATAATAGTAATAATAATAAATAAATAAAAAACAATTAATTGAAAAAATAAGAGTCAGACTAATAAAGGATATCAGTATGCTATTTAAAAACGAGCGAGTAGAACACGGACATAGTTGTCTTCATCACGCAGTTGTGTAGTAACTGAATCCACGTGCTACAACAAAACGTTTAACGAGAATATTATACATAAAAGAGTCACCAGATTATCTTGCTTGTGTAATCTAATTGAACTAAATTACTAAATTTATCAGCAAGAATCTGAGTGATGGCTAACAAGTCAGGTAGCCTAACATTTTATTTCAAACCTTTCAGATATTTAAATCTTAATTGTTCATCTGATATAATAAAGTAATGTAAGTATTGTACTGTATAATGTTTATTGTATTTGTGATAAAATACTGGCTGGACCATCACTTTAGGTTTCTGGACCTATAAAGGCAACGTGTTAAATGATTGGAGCTTGGCTAATTTGGCTGCATTGTAGGGCAGACATGTGACACAAGTCAATGGAACAAAAGCAAAAATGTAAAAAATAAATAAATAAATTCTTGAGCCTAAATTAAAAGTCCAGAAGTAGTAGCATTGGACTGTAATCAAGAGGGTTCCGCTGAACCCCTTTAACCTAAAATATTTACCTGAAGTCTCCCTTAGATTTAAAGTTAATATTTCAAAAATGTAACATCATATTCACGTTCACGGTTCTCTTATATCAATCAACGGTCACATGACATGCAGGTAAACGTAAACTTAGTAAGTGTTTTTATTTTACTAAATAGTTTATTGTAATTTTGTAAATATAATTTCATTAGCTTTTCCCCAACTCATAAACCCCCCACAGCAGATGTAGGAAGTTCAGTTTGAATGTGAAAAAAAAGGCAGCATCTTTATAGGCCTAGTTATCCAGTGAGCCAAGAAGCAAAGTGACACACTTTAGCACAGGCAGAATTTACGGGCTGGTGAGGTGCTCTAGTCTAGTGGACGTGGTCCTCCAAAAAACAAAAAGCAAGCAACCCAACCAGAACAATGGACACAACAATATCATGTCTGACACAAAGAGTAAAAAGTGCTCTGTCAGCATAGTTGTAGAGTGCGACTTTTTAATGGAGCCCTGGCTGAACGTATCATTATTTTTATATATATATATATATATATATAAATTTTAGAAGCCAATAGCTCTCAGAATCAATGTAATTTCAGGTATAGATTAGCCTACTAAATTGTGTGGTTCCGAGTCTGGGACAGTTTGTTTATTTCACTTCTTAATTAAAAGACAAAGCATGCCAAAGTTACATGAAATGTACAAATAAGGAGATTGGATCATAAGGATCCTGCAACTGTGCTGCATTTCAGTCATTTGACCAGCAGATGGCGAAAAAGGAATAAAAGTATGTAATTTGATGATAAAAAAAAATAAAAATTCTCTGGTAGACTTGAACGTAACACCACGTTTCTGTGAAGCTGTTCACGTGAGATACATGATGTAGCCTACTACCCCAGGCCCGGTGTGCATCCATATGCACCACTTCCATGTTATTCTAAGGGAAAAGTCTTTAGGAATAGTTTTGAAAACGTTAAAAACGTTATAAAATATTTTTTAAAGATTAGAATTATTCTAAAGGTGTAACACAAGCACGTGCTATTCCTAATGTAAAAAGTAAACGTAAAGAAAAGGTTGTCTTATTGAAGCCATGCTTAACATAACAATACAGTTGCAAGCTTGTTCGTACAGTGCTGATGGTGACATTCAGAGGAGGGTCATTTTCTCTTGTGTATGTAATTGGGCATATGTTTATGCACTGCCCCACGCGACATGATGACAATCCAGACCACAACATACTGCCAGTAAGGATGCGATCTCTCGTCCTTTGCATCTCGTTTGCACTCCAGTGCTTCGTTCTCCAAAGCGCATCCGAGTATTCTTCGAAATCCGAGCTGGAATACGAATTCGGTGACTACCGTGGCAAATTCTGTATGGACGACCAAGGTTTTGTTTATAGCATCGGAGAGGTTTATTATCCGACCTCCACAGCGTGTCCCTGCACCTGCACAGAGGATGGACCCGTGTGTGTCAGACCCAAGTGCCCGCGTATACACCCGAGATGCACTCGCATCACATACAAGTCCTGCTGCCCCGTGTGTGAAGCTGTCAGTAAAGTTTGTGTGTACGAGGGCAAAACTTACAGAATGCTGGAGGAATTTAGGGTGAGTCAATACATTTATAAAATACATTGCACTATATTGCTCTGCATGGACATTCTAATGATGATTATAATATTTCGTTTTGATTCGTTTTTTTACTAACGTTCTTAGGTTTATTACAACAATGCAGAAATTGCAATATGTAACGATGACCTTTTGCATTGTTTGGTTTGTTTTATCACAACACTGCTCACTTTTTAGGAAATGAAAAGATTCGAATTGGGACATCATACAAATTACATGATAATTATCTAATATCTGTGTTTTGTTTAAGTCTAGTCAAAGAACTAATGTTTGGTTGGATAAAAACTTACATTTGTCAGACACTTTTACTTAAAATTCTAGAGTATGGAACAAAACAGGCTACACTCTCCGAAAAAAAAAGGCTACAAAGCAGTCACTGGTGCAATATCTTCTTTACCCCTATAATTGTATATGTTAGTACTTATACATTAAAATACCCAGTAAACGTTTTGTATCTAGTAAAAAAATATATATATTTTTCTGAGTACACAACTGAAAAAAAAAAATTTAAGTATAAAGAAATTATTTTAGATTAATCCATTCATAGCCGTTGATCTAAGATTGGTTGCAATCACCTGTCTCTGACAATTTGACAATATATGGGATTTCCCTGGCCTATCAATCAATATGTCCTCAGTGAATTTAGATAGTATAATCCTGAGTGAATCTTTGTTCCTGTTTTAAACAGTTGTCACCCTGTGAGCGCTGCCGGTGTGAAGTCAACAGAGAAGTTTACTGCACCATATCCGGCTGCCCTGCCTTACATTGTGTGAATCCTGTATACGAACCCAACCATTGCTGTCCTGTGTGCAAAAATGGTGAGAGTTTTTCCACATGCAATACCTCATGTGCATTCCTTTTTTCACGTGCATTTGGTTGTGTTCCGTCCAACGTCATTGACACTATAACGTAAAGTTTTAACAAACACCTACATCTGCATCACATGCATCTGTCAAGACCTGTTTGTGTTCTGTTTTGAGGATCAATAATGAAGTTTCATTGATGATGTGTGGAGCCCTCACCTCTTGGTTTTGATTGATTTCTTCTTGATTACTGCATAGTTCATGGTGATGTCATGGAAAAATGATGCAATGGAATTGTTCGATGGATTGCTTACTACCATGCCGTCTATAAATAACTAGTCCACGGCATGCTGGGATGGTGCAGGCACTATGGGGCATTGGGCCATCCCTGACAACAGAAGGCATGAGGTGGACAGATTGTGTGTGATAGTTTGTGTATGTAATGTTCATATAGAATCTGGCAAGTAATATATACAGATTTCAAAACAAAAGATGCTGTATATACGAAATAAGTAATGCATTTGTGTGTGTGTATACCTGGCAGTTTCGATTTGAGATCAATCATTCAATAGACAATAGTGGTTAAAGGGATTGTTCACCCAAAAATGTTGTCATAATTTAGTCACCCTCATGTTGTTCCAAACCTGCATGACTTTATTTATTCTGGAGAACACAAAAGAAGATATTTGTTTTGGACTCCATGACTTGTCTTATTTTGGGTTCCACTGAACATATAAAAGTCATACAGGTTTGGGATGACCTTAGGGTGAGTAAATGATGACAGAATTTTCATTTTTGGGTGAACTATTCCTATAAGAGAAGCTCTAATTCTAACCAAATGCTCTTCATGTCTCTTTTTCATAGGGCCAAACTGCTTTGCTGGAAATCGCGTGATCTCGGCAGGAGAACGTGTTGAGATTGATGAGCGGACCGTGTGTTTCTGCACTTACCGGGACGGAACGTGGCAGATGCACCCTCACGCTACCTGTGAGGAGCGCCAACGAGCAGACAATGAAGCCACTGACTCCGACAACACATCCAAACAGATGGAGGATCAGGAGATGGAGAAAGAGAAAGAGAAAGAGAGAGTGTTCTCGCCCAGGTTGGATGCCATCCCGTGAAGTGAAGTGTGCCTGGCACCAGCTCTCCTGACAGGCAGGAGGGGATGCAGAGCATCATGCAGGTGTCTATGCCCAGGGTAAACACAACCTGCGCTGGGATAACTGCCAATGCTGACCTCTGACCAATGCCAACCTGACCAATGCCAACCTCACCACCCCCTCCCATCCTGACCCAGATCGGCAACCCACTGACAAGCAACATGCACTAATAAAATGTTCCATTATTATACATGGCACACTTGTTGTTCAGAAATTAGGGGTCAGTAAGTTTTAAAATAAATACGTTTATGCAGCAAGGTCACATTAAATACATTGACAATGTTACAACAAAAAATTCCATTTCAAATAAATACTGTCCTTTTGAACTTTTTATTCATCTAGGAATCCTGAAAATGTATCACGGTTTCTTGAGCACCAAATCAGCACATTAGAATGATTTCTGAAGTCACACTGAAGACTGGAGTAATGATGCTGAAAATTCAGCTTGGCCATTACAGGAATAAATTACATTTTAAAATATGTTCAAATAGAAAGCAGTTATTTTAAATTGCAATAATATTTCACAATATCACTGTATTTGTGATCAAATAAATGCAGCCTTGGTGAGACGTACTTAAAACATTTTCAAAATCTTACCGACTCCAAACTTTTGAATGGTATGTGTATGTGTAAATATGTTACTGTATATTACTGTATATCATGTTGTCTACTTCTTAATAAGAAGCAGTTATGCAGCGTTATATTTAAATATGGAGCATTGTATTTAAAAAAAAAACGATTTCCCATTTTTCCATCTCATTTTTGTAGCATGTTGTGTTAATGGGCACATTACACACTTTTGAAGTCTTGAATATTGTTTAATGTTTAAATTATTTATTCCATGTCCAATATGACACGTTAATTAACTTCAATGTTCATTCCAACAGATACATTTACAAAATATCATAATGTATTAGATATAACCAGTAAAATGATGTTCTCCATAAAGACGATTAACATTCTTGTTTAGATAGGAAGTGGAGCATGCAATAAGAAACATATTTTCAAAGGGCTGGTCAAATGGAAACATATAATTTCAGTATTAAAATCATCTCAGGTTTGAGTATTTTCTCCTTGTCTCGTTATTTAAAAATCTGAATCATTGCATATTTTATGTTTTGCTGATTTTAACAATTTCAGTGAACACTTCAACACAGCTGATTTACAAAATGCATGTAAATATAATGGCAACACTGTCTTTATGAATTACAAACATGGAAAATTTTATTTAAAAATTGAAAATAAATTTTTTATTTTTATTTTATTTAAATTGTGACAATGTAATGTCATCTGTAACTGTGAGTCAAGATTCTAAATCATTCATTTCAATCAAAAATATTTAATGTATAGTTAAAATATAGTGGGGGTTGAATATAATTTTTTTTTTTTTTTTCTAATTTAATAAACTTTTTATTCACCGATTATATTATTCACGTATGTCTTTTAGTATTTGGTCTGTCCCTCTGATGGGAGCCTCATGAACTCCACAAGTTTCAAAACCTGATGATCATTGTCAGTGTGTCAGACGTACACGTCACTGTATATCTGCAATGTATTTGCTTTATTTGGATCATACGTCTGGAACTATAATTCTATTATTAGTGGCTAAAAGTCAGAACGAAAATGCATTAGCAAAGCATACATACGGCTCACTAGGTGGCGATGTAGGGATGTTGGCTTTGAAGTGCGCACCGGATGCTGTGAGAGCGGTGGCACGCGCACGATTATATCCCAGCATTCCTTTCTCTCTCTTCCTCTTTCCCTTTCGGCGACAATGTCTAAGAGAGGTAAGAAATGCATATGAAAATCCACAATCATCCTTAAAATGAGACACACTGAAGCCCCATAAAGGAATAAACGGGTTTAATTGATCATAGAGAACTAATATTTTCGATATATTGACGCTGGTTGTCAAGTACATCTTCGATAGAAACTACTTTATAGAGCATTTGGCGCTAGCGAGAGCAGCCATGTTTGCTAAGCGCGCAAACTCAAGTCTCGTGGCGCCAGTAGTATGATGTTTAAACACTTCAGACAAACTTTGCTGTGCTGAAGCAATTTTTGAAACACGGTTTCACGTTAACTGGTGTAAAATAAGCAATGTGACTTTTAAAAGAACTAGACGCGTGAGCAGTGGACTGACGACAACACGCATCGGAGCAGGTAACGTTACACACCCGGCTGTTGAGGCGATAGCATAATGCACATATTTGAGATTTTCAGCGATTATAGACCGGGCAAACAGACTGTTGGGTTAATAGATTCTGTAGTATTATTGTCCTAATAAATAATGCAATAACTGTTTCGAGATAGCAAATGTCAGTTCACTACTGTAACTCACAACCGTATCGATAGCAGTTAACGTTAGACATTTGCAGACCTAAAGGAACGGTTCGCCCATAAACATTAAACACTATTTTTTTAAATGGAAAACGCTGGCTTTTAAGCGCAATGGCAACCTTAGCCACCGTTCACTTTCGTTGGGTCTTTTTGATGGCAGTGAATAGTGACTGATGCTTCGAACACGGTAAAGAATATTGCACCAAATCTTTACTTCATGATGAGATTAAAATAGTTTTAAAGTAACTGACTTGAAGTTTTGCAGTGTTACTGGCAAAACGGTTGTTTGCTTGAGTATGTAGACAACTGTCTGTGTGATTTGTTTTTGTAGTTGGTTTTTAAAGTCACTACTAAAAGTTGGCAATCGATTATAAATGAATGAAGTCACTTCCTGGCTAGCTAAGCAAAAAGCAAATGTGACTGGCATCTTTTGGTTGTTTTTATCCTACTGTTGTAAACTCCTAATGCGTTCATCCTCTTGTTCAGGACGTGGTGGGTCATCGGGAGCCAAGTTCCGTATTTCACTGGGTCTCCCAGTGGGAGCGGTCATCAACTGCGCTGACAACACAGGTATGAGATCTGCCAGTATTTGTGCTTGTTATCCTTCTTAAAGCACTTGCTTTGTCTGCTCTGTGGCTGGGTGAGTCGTCAGTGAAGGAATAGTAAATCCCATTGCTGTTGGGTGAGATGGCAGTCGCCTTGTGCTGTTAAATCTCAATCCGTGATGGAACAAATGTTAGCTTGTTTGTAATGGCCACACTGAGGGTTAGCAGACCTGTAAAAAAATATTATAGAATATACTAACGAGTTGGTGTTTGCTCAGTTATTGACCTCCGCTGATCTGTGGCTTTTCTCTCGCTTAGGTGCCAAGAACCTGTACATCATATCCGTCAAAGGCATCAAGGGTCGTCTCAACAGGCTCCCCGCCGCTGGTGTGGGCGACATGGTCATGGCCACAGTGAAGAAAGGCAAGCCAGAGCTCAGGAAAAAGGGTGAGTGTTTGCTGCTGAACCTGAATTATCAGATTTCTGGAGCCTAAGCTTTTTTCTTGGTTTTGAATGCAAAAAACAGGCTTTGGCATAGAGATGTTTGAGTGTTGCTGATCTGAATTAAAAGTCAAGTATGTATGCTTATACAACTTTGCCCTTTTAATCTAGTGCATCCTGCGGTGGTGATACGACAGCGGAAGTCGTATCGGCGAAAAGATGGCGTGTTTCTATACTTCGAAGACAATGCAGGGGTCATAGTGAATAACAAAGGAGAAATGAAAGGTGAGTTATGAATATAAGATCTTGTTTTGTACCCTTCTTAAAGCACTTGCTTTGTCTGCTCTGTGGCTGGGTGAGTCGTCAGTGAAGGAATAGTAATCCCTTTGCTGTTGGGTGAGATGGCAGTCGCCATGTGCTGTTAAATCTCAATCCGTGATGGAACATTTTCTACTTGAGACCGGTCATTTTAACTTGATGTTCTGGATTTTGATCCGGTGCAGTGCTAAATTGTTTTTGTCTTGTAGGCTCAGCTATCACAGGACCCGTAGCCAAGGAATGCGCAGACCTGTGGCCCAGGATTGCTTCCAATGCTGGTAGCATCGCCTGAGCGCAAATGTGGCTTGTCGTTTTCAATAAAATCCTCAAAGTTTACATGTGTCACTGTCTGTTGATTCTAGGGAATTTGGTCTTGACACTGTAAAGTTAAAACGGCAATATTTTGAATTTGTTAATATTTTATAATATTGATTATAGATATTTAATGCAAAGTTTAATGCTTACAGAGCATGTTTTTTTTTTTTTTTACTTCAGTACTTACTGAATTACTTTTGCGTGATAAATATTGTGTCTTGAGTATTGACATTTGACCAATGAGTATGTGAAAACTAAATTTATTCAGTAATGCATTAACTTAAAGAACACAAATGAAATGTTAGTCTTTAACAACAACAAAAAAAGTTAGTTCTTAACAGATAATTAATGAAATTAATATTTTCTTAAATAGTTGCCATGAAATTAATATTTCATTTTAATAGACTCCCTGGTTTGTTTAAAACCTTGTGCGTACATTTAAGAAATTGAAAGGTAAAAAATTAATAAATTTTTAAACCTCATACACTAGATGATTATGCACAAATAAATCCAGAAAATACAAAATGCATTGTTCAATTGTTTGAGATGTTACTAAATACAATCCGAGCTGCACGTCTAGATGAGAATTCAGTCTTTTTAAAGTAGGTAAATTATACTTGTACTTTTTTGTGTGTGTTTTGGTAATGTTATACAGTGTATCCTGCAAAATATACCGCTCAAAAGTTTGAGATCAGTCAGACTTCTAATGTGTTTTAAAGAAGTCTCTTATGCTCCTCAAGGCTGCATTTATTTGTTCAAAAATACAGAAAAAAAACGGTGATCTTGCAAAATGTTATTACAATATAAAATAATGGTTTCTATTTTAATATACTTTAAAATATAATTTATTTCTGTGATGCAAAGCTGAATTTTCATCAGCCATTACTCCAGTATAAAGTGCCACATGATCCTTCAGAAATCATTCCAATATGCTGATTTATTATCAGTGCTGGAAACTTGTGCTGCTTAATATGTTTTTGGAACCTGTGATACTTTTTTCAGGATTCTTTGATGAATAAAAAGTTAAAAAGAAGAGCATTTATTTAAATTAGAAATATTTTCTA